GTATCCGGCGGAGACTGTCTTTTGCTCATCCCCAATATAACCATTAGCCTCATTATCATGGTCTTCAAACTCAGTCCTACCGTCACCTTCTATCATCCTCAGTCTCCTCAATCTCCTCATCCTCCTCCTCTTCAACCTCAATGTTCTGTATTCCATCCACTTCCAAAATGAAATTATGAAGGATGCAGCATGGGACAACAATTTTCACTTGTGTTTCCATGGGGCAAGTGGTTGCCGTTTTCAAATAAAGAATCGTGCTTTAATGACACCGAAAGCACATTCTATTGCATTGTATGATGATGAATGTCGATGGTTAAATAACTCTTTAGCAGTGTTAATACGGGATCCCATGGGGAAATTCCTTTAGATTATAGCGAGTGTTGCGATACGGGAAGAGATACATGGAGTATTTGGATACCTAGCATCCACGTGGGAGAATTTTCCTACATGAATAAATTTTAGATATAAATTCCTTTTTATGTTGTCTATGGAACTCTGTGTGTTAAGGATTAACTGACTGCTAAGATGGTATACGATGACATAATTCAAAAGAAACATAAATTACCTTAAAATAATCCCTAAATAATTCATGGCGGCTAATTTCAAGTGGGTTTCTCCAGTGATTGCGATCTTATGAATTCATGATAGAGACGTGTGACTACATTCAACACTTATATTGAAATGTCGGCTTATCATATCTCTAGTGAATGACCAAATTTGTGACCTATTTTGCAATTTTTCAAGCTGTGACTACTAGTATGTAAAAATAAAACTAGTTAGTTACTTCAATGACACTCTAATAATATTGTATAAGCTTCTTCTATCTCTCTTAAAATGCTTCTCAATTGGAAGAAGCCCTCTGACTCATGAGGATTCGATAAAGGCAATCGACCTTAGTGGTGTTGATTACCGATTCACGGAATATTCATCCACCAACAGAGTACTTGTTGCGAGGTCGTCTGTCTCTCGACAGTGGACATCGCTGCAATGGTTGCAGCATGTGCAAGCAACACTACGGCTGCCATTTTCTACTCGAGTTTAGCAGCTGTGGTATCAATTGGAGGCATGTTCTCATATGGAACCCAAAAATATTCTAAAGAATACCGACATGATAACTCTCGAGTGTTTCAAGATACCCACATTCTACCAGTTGATCAACCGAAAAATCGCAATAAAAAGATTGATTATAATCGATGACAATAGGTTTAAAATGAAATATATCAGGGCTACAAAATTACCCAAATAATCATCAAAAGAAAGTCAAAAAATAAAGGACACAAATTAAATAGTTCTGACCAGCATATTGGATATGCTCCCATGGGAGCAGCAATGTTCTCAGGATCGGACTAGTACGGTTGGACCGGCCGAAGGATCGGTCTAGGAAAATAAATAATTAATTAAAAGTAGTCAAATGAGGAAAATTTGGGGGGGAAAAAAAAAAAATGAAAAATCTAATTTTTTTTTTTAAAGTATTATAAACATATATAACTCTTCATCCAATAAAGAAAGGGTGTGGTTTATATAAGGTTGCAACCTTAAACAATCCAATTAAGGCATACCTCTAATTTCTATCATAACATGTAATTTTGGTGTAAAAAATTACTAGGATTATCTGAAAATCTATTTTCATATCTAATTATAAAATTTTAAGCCCCAAAAATAGTTAAAATGAAGTAGATCTATAAACATATGAAAATCTAGAAAATGGACGATCTAGATAATATATTGCAAGATGCAATATTTATGCGACTCAAAATCTTTTTTTTTTATGTATATATATTCATACATCTTGAGGTCGAGATGATCAATTAGAGGGTTTTTCAACATTAAAACAACATTTTCTGATGGATTTTTGATGTGCATCTTTAAATCTATACTTTAAAGTTGCATCATTATATAAACTTTTTCCATAAAGAAATACTCATTAATAATACAATAACTCAAATTTATAAAAAAGACCCAAAATAAAAGTTCATAACTTTTCGTTCTTTGAATTTTCTGCTTTTTTTTTAGACCATTCAAAATGAAAAGAACAGAAAATTAAAATAATAAAAAAAAAACAATAAAAAAAATAGAAAACTCAAAAAAAAGAAATTTTCTATCTTTTGTTTTTTTATTTCTGCTTTTCTTTTTTATTTATGTTTTTCCAAGTTGGTCCAAGGGGGTATCAAAATACTCATGATTCTAAACTGTGTACAAATTCAAAACCTTTTTCTTTCTAACTACATTCCTGATTTTAAAGTGGATCTTAAAATTTTAAATTGAAAAATACTACTAATAAGTCTTTCACCAAAAGAAAAAGTTTATTTGAGGCTCTAACTTTATGGTTTATACTATAGAAGTAAGTGCACCTCAAAAATCTAGTAAAAAAGAGCATTTTGAAGTTCAAAAACATTCCAATTGATCATCTTCTCCTAGAAATGTGTGGATACAAAAAAAAAAAAAAGAGTTTTAAGTCCTAAAAATAGTGTATCTAGAAGCAAGTTATATGAATTGTCTATTTTCAAGACTTTCAAGTGTTTGCAAATCCATTCGATCTGTTTTAGAATTCATAATTTTATAATTCAGGTTAAACATAGATTTTCAAGCCATCATAAAAGTTTCAATGCGGAAACAAAATATTCTAGAAAAATTTAAAGGTACATTGTACTTGTATAATATACACGCACCTTATACAAATCTCACCCTTTACAAAAATGAGTAAATTTAATGTGGTTAGTACACTATACACATAAATAACATGGGAACAATTTATGGCCGCGGTTGCATGCTAGAATGACCAAAATGCTCCTCATCTCTCTAGAGAGAGAGAGAGAGAGAGATTTGTGAGGCTTATATTTGTGAGTAAGGATTCCCATCTTGTTGAGAAGAGATAGGATTGGATGATGAGGAAGGATTTCTCCCCTTCAGGTAGGGGATCCTATCACTTTGCTACTTTGGGCAAAGCCTAGCTGACCCATTTCCACAATGGGACTCATGGTCAAACCAGGTCTTCAAAAGCAAAAGGAAAGAAAGGCATATATCCTAAAGACCTAAAATTCGATGCCCAAAATGAGCAGCCATACAAAGATAACTTTAAAATCCCTCTTGTTAACCAACATCATTTTTTTCCAAATTCAAATAATTCATAAGAAGCCATTGCCTAACCGTATTTTCCCTATTTTTCTTCTTCTGATCCCTTTATATGAGAAGCATATAAAAGGGATCATTGACTTTTAATACAAGGATGCCACATTCATTCATGTATGTTAGATTTCAAATTGAGTGGTTGTGAATGCATTATTGATTGGTCTCAAAATTCAAATTTTTTTTTTCAAACTTTGTACGACACCCCAAGCCATCCAATTTAATATTAATAGCAATTTCGACCTCCATATAACAAGGATAAATGGTCTCATAGTACACAATCACCCCTTTAAATACCCATTGCTCCAATGTCACAAACTCAAAATAGACCAATTATTAACATGTGGAGAAGAGTGAAAGAAATATGAATGTGAAAATGCAAACTCCTTTACTACAATGACCAATAGGGGCGGCAATGAACCCAGACCTAACTTTGGACCCAAGGGGTAGACCCAATCCAGGTCCAAGTATAGGTCCAAAAATTGGATCTGGCGGGTCGGGTCGGTCTGAGTCCGGGTCCAATAATAATTTTTGGTCCTAATGTATGAAATATATGAAATATCTTCAAATGTAGTTTTATATATATATATATATATATAATTTTCGGGTCGGGTCTATCTGGTTCGGCACTATATTTTTAGTATCGAGTCCGGGTCCAGGTCCAGCCAGACTGGACCGACCAGTTCCCAACCTAATGACCAATGAAAACCGATACCTCACAACTTCATAATTGATAATGACCATTATAGTGTCAGTGTCCTCTAATGAGAAAAAAACAGCTTGGTTATATACCTTTATCTCAAAGAAAAAAATTGCTGGATCCCGCCATTTTTACTTTTGGAAAAACATTGAAAGTTGCTTGGTGGAAACTCAATGCCTTGGGCGAAAGAGGGAAAATAATGGTTCTGCAGGTCCAAATTGCACATTTGGTCCCACAACCACAACGGTTGCATTTTTGCGATTTAAACTTCTCCGAGAACTTTTTGATGCATCCGAAGCTCGGGTTGTTTAGAAAATTACGCTTGAGTTTCCCTCAAATGGATATTGTAGATTAAGACTTCAGCATAGTTTGATTTGGATTTTAGAGCACTCTTTGAGCTCCAAGTTCTAACGTGTTTTACATTGATCAAAGCTTTAAAAGCATGGTTCGATGATTGGGATCGCCCTCCAAAAACCCTTTCGGATCAGCGGTTCAGATTGGCGATCCAGCCTACTAAATCAATGAATAAAAGATAAAATAAAAATTTAAGGAACAAAAAAATGATTTCTTAAAAATAAAATAAAATGGGACCTGTTCTCCGACATAACAGGTTGGTTTTACCAGAGAAATGGGAACCAGCTAGTTCATGATATTTAGGACTTGCCTTTGATTCTTAGTCCAAATTAGATAATTATTATCCAGTTTGCTGATTTTTAAAACCTTCTAAATTAGCTAATTGTTATCCAGTTTGCTGATTTTTAAAACCTTGAATTGATCTAAGATGATACGATAATCTTAAGTTCATCCCGTTTCTAAGCTAGGTTTTGAATTGCGGACCAATAGAACTTTTGGTCACGCTGGACCACTAAAAGAAAAGATATATAAAAGGAGCTCAAGAGCGCGCCATCGATATATGTATAAATGACTTGGGGCTTTTTGGTCATTCAATCAAAGAACATAACGTAGGATAAGAATAAGCATTGTCCCTTGCCAACCATGCTTTTCCAATACATGATCTCCACCGTCCAAGCCGGTGGCGCATCGAACGGTTCTCAACCCTTCTACTAAACCATGGTTAGTTTCTCACTCTAGTCTAGAGAGAGAGAGAGAAGGATGGGAAGATTGGAACCCTAGGACGGTCTCTCCTATTTTTGGGAAGATGCGTGATAAATATTAACTCCTCTCTCGCTCTACAATTTTGTGCCTCCCTTGTTTGGTAGTTTCAGTGGAGAGAGAGAGAGAGAGAGAGAGAGAGAGGGGGGTGCGAGGAAGAGAGAGTGAGTTAGTGAGAGAGAGGGAAGAGAGAGAAAGTTAAAGGGGTCGTTGCAGTCATGTCTGATGAGGAGCACCACTTCGAGCCGAGGGCCGACGCAGGTGCCTCTAAGACCTACCCCCAACAAGCTGGAACCATTCGTAAGAATGGGTACATAGTCATCAAGAACAGGCCATGCAAGGTATTTCTCTCTCTAGGTCTTTCTCTCTCCTCATCTAGAAGTATGGTATTCTGTTTATCCTTACTGGATGGCTTCTTCTCTGTCTCTTCATTATAAAGGATGGATTTTTAATTTATGTTATCGATATTTGGTTGCCTTTCAATATTGGGGTTTTGGTTCCTTTTTCAATATTTGGGTTTTTGGTTCCTTTTTCAATATTGGGTTTGGGTGGCGAGATTATCTCCTTGCATTTATTGAGTTTAGGGTTTTTGGTTCCTTCTTCAATATGGGTTTTCTGTTGATGGCGAGATCATCTTTTTTCATTGATTGGGTTTTCAGATCATTTTACTTTCTTTTTTTTATTTGCTTAAGATCATGGGGCTAATGAAGTGATGTATACGATCTTGGGTGTTGGTTTGGCTTTTAAGTTTTATTGTTACACTTTGCAGTTGTATTTATTTTTTCCTAAATCAGAATTTCTGTTTTACTTTTTCCAATTGTTTTTGAGATCAAAGTGTTTGGTTGTGTGTTGCTCTGTGACAATCTAATTCCTTATGTATCAAAGGGCTCATAGTTTCATTGTTTTTGAGATCAAATTGTTTGGCTTTTGTGCTGATCTGTGACAATCTATGTATCTAACGGATCAGAGTTTCCTCTTAGGTTTTTTAATTTACTTCTCTTTCTGCTCTTGCAATAATATGACGTCATTATAATACTATCTATCTTTTAATATTTTAGATAGATTTCTGTTATTTGTTTGTCTTGTTTACTTTTGTATTTCATGTTGTAGAGATGTCACTAGTTGGGACAATTCTACACTTCTCTTCCTCCTTTTATGGTGATATGACTGTCAGGTTATTTTTTTATGTTTTTTGCTGATCACTTATTTGCCATTGCTTTGATACTGTGAAGTTATGAATTTGGTACCTAAGGATAAAGAGGTTTAAGAGTTATTCCTTGTTGAAATTCTGTTGTATGATATGCTTCTTTGTGTGCTCTCTCTTTCTGATGGCAGTTTGTATTCATGGCAGGGGTAATCGATTTTGAATCTTCTCTCTTACGCTGTTATGTATTGTGTCGTATCATAAGGATCCAGGATGAAAAGTTACCTTTATTTTATCTGTGTAGAAATTGATCGTATTTGAAGATGTTCAAGGAACAATTTTCTTTGTGATCTCTGTTTTGTTTTTTTTTTTATATGATTCATACTTTCTTATCCCCTTGCTCCAGTGCCTTAACATCTGAATTTCCTTTTTGAGAATTTTTTCTTGAGTATTTTGCCATGTTATAATGTAGGTATTGTCTGCTTTTCAGCCATGGTAATGTTCTTTTATGTTCTGTTGTGTGCTAGCAAAAGTAATACACTTTGTGAAAGTATTGAGGTGATATTGGACTTCCTTTTTTTATCTTCTTCTGTGCTTATTGATGGACATAATCTGATCGTTCATTACGTTTCCTGAGTATTCATTATGTTCTCTTGAGCAGGTTGTTGAGGTTTCCACCTCTAAAACTGGAAAGCATGGTCATGCAAAGTGTCACTTTGTTGGAATTGATATATTTAACGGTAAAAAGCTTGAGGATATTGTGCCGTCATCACACAACTGCGATGTAAGTAATTCCTTTTATTTATTCACGTTCTTGTTTTTTTTTTTTCTTTTTTCTGTGGATAATTTTTGTTTACTTATGGCCTCATACAATTTAGTGGGTCCATCTTTCCTGCTCTTCTTTCTTTATTTCTTTTTCTAAGTCATATTTCGAGCTCTCTGTTCAATTCTTTTTGGCTTGCAGGTTCCCCATGTTAATCGCACTGACTATCAGCTGATTGACATCTCTGAAGATGGATTTGTAAGTTGAATTCCACATTAAACGTAGTTTTTGTGATCCATTGGTGCTGTCTTCGTGCGCTTTTTTTGATAAGTAATTAAATATAAAAGTCGTAAATGCTTTTTTCTTCTTGGCTTATTGTGAATTTGGTTCAGGCGAGTCTTTTGACTGAAAATGGGAATACCAAGGATGATCTCAGGCTCCCCACCGATGAATCTCTCCATACTCAGGTTAGTGGCAAGTTATTTCCAATGCTGATGGAATGCACTTTCATTTTGAAATTGTGATTTTGTTGATGGGCCTGAATGTTAGCACATGATATGGATCTATTTTTTCATGGGATCATATGATTTGATCTTAGATGTATGAATGCCTCAATGTAGTTGTGTCCTAGATGTCAGGTGTCGTTTTATATCATATAAAAAAAAGCATGTTCCATTTCAAGAAAAAAAGGATGTTTTAGCTGTGTCGGCAAGGGCCATGATTTGTAAAGGAGGGATTTCAGAAGGAGTGGAGGAGGGAGGGAAGGGTTCTTGTAAAGCATGATGTAGTGTACTTGTAGTTTTGTACAATTTACTTCTGAGACATCTTGACATTAGTTCAAAAAGCACCCTTTCAAAATACTCTTGAAGGTTGTCTCTCTTTACTTCTTGTACCCCTATGTGATGAGATGTTTTCCATTGCTAAAACCAATGGTGGATGTCGGGGATTTAACTATATGAAGTTGTTGGATAAGGTTGTGATGAAGAGATGGAATTGGTTGTTGGATGCAATGTTGGAAAGATCGATCCAGGTCGAGTACTCGGTCCAGGCCAGGCCAGGCCGAGTACTTGGCCTGAGTTCGAGTAACTTGTCCCGAGTTGGGTCAATTCTGGTGAAGCCAAAAAGTGTTAGAAGATAACAAAATACCAAAAAAATCCCAAAGAATAGGATAAATATGTTTAAAAGCAAAATTAATCAAAGCACATCTAAAGGAGGTTAAAAAAGTATTGAAATTTTGGATTTTGAAAATATCAATTTTTTTCTGGGATTATTTTAGAAATAATTCAAAAGGAGGGAAAATGTAAAAACAAGAATTAGAAAGAATTAGAAAACCCCTTTTTTAGAAAGAATTACTAAGATAATTTTGTCGGGGATTATCTTCGTCTTTTCTTGGGTAAACCGTACCCAGTTTCTCTCCTGTTCGTCTAGAAAGAATTAGAAAACCCCTTTTTTGGCATTGTTGAACTGAATCATAATGGTTATGTACAGCTAAAGTAGTTGTACTGCCTTATATAATTTTGTCCTTGCAGTGTCATGGGTGTCAAGTTGGCCCGTTCTCCGTCTTATTTATCTGCAAGTTGTCGTGTTCTATGTTTATAGATTTGACATGTTCATACATTTTCAGTGATTTTACCCATGACTTGCAACTAGTGTATCAAAGATCATTTTCACTGCACATGAAGTGTATTACCCGCAACTGATTGTTTCACTCCATGGGTTCTCATAATTATGATGTAATATTTGTACTGATCAAAACATAAATTATACTGCCCTATTTGTGAGTGCTTATGTTTAGTGGAACATGGATTTTTCATGCTCGGTTGCATTGAACTATGTATGACTAGTGATTCAAATATGTTTTTTTTTTATATATTCCAATTGTTCCACTCCACGAGTTATCATAATTATGATATAATTTTTGTACTGATCAAAACAAAAATTATACTACCCTATTTGTGAATGGTTATGTTTAGTGAAAAATGGGTTTTTAATGCTCGATGACATTGAACTGTGTAATTTTTGCCAAGTGATTCGAACCATTTTTTTATTATATATTCCCCAGATTAGAGATGGTTTTGGTGAAGGCAAGGACTTGGTTGTGACTGTTATGAGTGCCATGGGAGAGGAGCAGATCTGCGCTCTGAAGGACATTGGCCCTAAATAAGCACCATCTGTTTGTGTTAAATGGGATCATATTGTGGTAAAAACCCTAATTTTATGTTTGGTTGCTTCTGATATAAATTGTGAGGCCTTAGGGTTTTTTTATATGTGTAACACGAACAGCTGGCACACCATGAGCATCATGAGCTTGCTCTATTATGCCAAGGTTATGGGTTTGTTAGGACCCTTGATGTGCGGATTCTTGGAAGGAACTAAGCCCTTGATTTGATGTGGTGATAGGGTTTTGTTTCTTTCTGCTATGGCTTTGGTATGTTGGGGATCTTGTCTTTGAGCTTCCTTTTGCCACTATGAACTAGAGAACTTATATTCATATGAGATGATACTTGTTTACTTTTCCTAAGGAAAAAGTTTATATAAGGTTGCAACCTTAAAATGTAGAAGTAAAGATGCACCGCAGAAAAGTTTTTTTTAATGTTAAACCCGCTCTAATTGATCATCTCGACATTGAGATGTATGAATATGAAAAAAAAAAAGAGAGATTTTGAGTTCCAGAAATAGTGCATCTGACAACATATTTTCTTAGACCATCTATTTTCAAGATTTTCAAATGGTTACAAATGTTCTGGATTTTAACTATTTTTGGAGTTTAAAATTTTATAAGTAGAAATGAAAATGGATTTTAAGATGATCCTAACAAAAATTTGCGCTAAAATTAGGTGTTATGATAAAATTTGGAGGTGCACCTTGGATTGTTTATGGTTGCACCCTTATAAAAACTACACCCTTTTAAAAATTTTGGGTTTTCCTTTTGTGGGTGTGGTTGAGTGCGTAGTGGTCTCAATTGATTCGGATTTTGGATTCCTTGTCCATGTTTTCTTTGGATTTTTGCCGTCAATGGATTGCGTTGTCCATATTTTTATTTCATTCTGTTTTGGTTATGGCATAGTTCGACCTTGGCGCCTTTCCCTCCCCCACTCTCTCTCAATCCATTGTCCATATTTTGATTTTATTCTGTTTTTGGTTACAGTATAGTTTGACCTAGGTCTTTTTTTGGTTGCAGCATAGCTTGACCTAGGTCTTTCTCTCTCTAATATTGCTTTGTTAGATAATTATCAAGGTCTTGAATAAAATTTAGAGGGTTGAGGCTTGTATAAGGTGCTTACCTTATGCCGTACAAGTAAGGCGCACCTCTAAATTTTGATGAAGGATAGTAGTTCTGGTGTCTTAAGATGGCTTTAAAATCTCTTGTCAACCCTAATTATAAAATTTAAAACTTTAAAAAAGATGTAAATATAAGTACTTCAAAATCTTGAAAATAGATATCTAGGTAATTTATTTCAAGATGCATTGTTTTTAGTACTTTTTTTTTTGTTGTTCTACTATACATGGATCTAGAGGCCGAAATTATCAAATGGCAGACTTTGAAACCCTTTTCTATTAAATTTCTAAGGTGTGCCTTATATAGTACTGGCTGAATTATGTACGTGGCATGTAGAGTAATTGAAATTTTATCAAATAGCATAAAAAATGTGCAAATTCAAAAAATTAAAATTTTTTTGAAATGTGCAAATTCAAAAATTAAAAAAATTTTGAATTGTTTCCTCCACTAAATTTTCTATGAAATTTAGAGTTTCCAAGAGTTGCACTATTCTCTCTTACTACTAATTGTTTGTCTAAAAAAATTCAAAAAAAACAACGCCTCTCTGTCTTTCCAAAGCCACTTTCTAAAACCACATTGAACTCAACCCAAGCCACCTCTCTCGCACACAAAAACTCCACCTACCGAAAAAAAACGCATATCTGTCTTTCTAAAACCACATTGAACTCAACCCAAGCCACTTCTCTCTCACACAGAAACACCACCTACAAATTCTTTGCAGGAAAAAGAATACCTGTTTGGAGGCTCGAGTACAATTGAGTTTCAAGCGGCTAACCATAAATAAAACAAAGGAAAAATATTAATAACAAAAAGCCATAAAAACAAAGAAACAATGATGCATAAAACCATTAATAGTAGTGGATCAAGGAGGAAAAAAGCAAAGCAAAGCGAAAAAAAAAGACGCAGAAAATTAATGTACCTCTTGGATGAGAAATAAGTGTTAGGAAGTACATGATGTGTATAATATACTTTTTCTTAAAACCTATTTTAAGGAGTTTCATGAAAGAAATGGTGAAACCACCAACTATGGTTGGTACAGACCACCTTTTGCCAGTGGTTGGTATACACCACCTTTTGCCAGTGGGTCAGCTTCCATATTAGCATTGGTACACAACATCTTTCGCTCAAAGGATCAACCGGTGAAGATAAAAAGACTTCCATATTAGCATTGGTACACAGCATCTTTCGCTCAAAGGATCAACCGGTGAAGATAAAAAGAATTGTCAATGGGTCAGCTTCCATATTAACCTTGGTACACACCACCTTTTGCTTAAAGGATCAACCGGTGAAGATGAAAAGAATTTCATCAAAGAAGCTGCATAATCTCTAAGGTAGCATCATTTCTCTTTTTGCCCAAACAATGAGAATCAAGAATTTTATTAGCTTTAAGCCTTCTAATAGAGCTCTTCCATCTTAAGGGGGCTTGGATTCCCATTCAAGCTTCTATCGAAGTTTAGCACATCTCTCTCTCTCATGAAAAGGATAACCAAATGGTGAAATTAAAACGTAGGTTTTTACTGATATATTAACCAATTAAAAATAATGAGTCATTTGAAATGAAAGAGTCATGTAAATATAAAAATACACCTTCTCTTCCCGAATGATTCACCCAAAAAAAAAGAGAAAACTTCTCTCTCATTAAACCGAACCGAATATGGGTGCTTGAGGTGTAAGCTCGCATCAGCACGTGAGTTGCCCATACGCAAGGCTATGGCTGTTGGACACCACTCAAAAATATAAACCTAACTAATAGGTTTGGATATTTGCAGCAGCTAAGCTATAAAAAAATATATTGTTTTAAAATACGATAACCTCATTGTATGAAATTCATTTTAGAATTCAAAGGCATATACTTTTGATACGAAAATTCCATAAAATCCTTATGAGCTGCCCTGCCCTGCCCTCTAACCATGTGAAATTAAAAAGAATGTCAAACTAACCATGTGAAATGAGAGAGGAAAGAGAAATCGTAGAGAAAGAGAGGAAAAAGAGAAAATGAAAGGGCCAACCTTGAACGTTGAGCCCAAAGCAACATGCCATGAAACTTTGAAAAAAGTGAATGAAACATTCATCCTGTTTTGCCTGAGCTTTCTTCATCATCTTTAATGAACATCCCCACGCCCTTTTCTCTCTCTCTATACCCTTTGCTTCCCCACATCAAAACACAAAGAAACAACTGTTCCTTTGTTCCCTCAAGTTTGAGTGCTCATGTTCCCTAAGCTTGAGGGATCAAATTAATAATCAAAAGAAATATATTAACATATATAAATATCTTATATTATATAATATTTATAATAATAGATATATACATATCTTATATTATATCATAATAAATATTATATTATATGTTATATATAGTACAAATATAGGTTAATAAAATATATAAAATACATTTTATTATATATATTATATATTTATATTTACATTGTTCATATATATAATATTATTGTATTAAATATATAATATATAATATTATTATATATGATATATATATTTATTATATTATAAGCAAATTAGTAACACAACTTTTTTAGATAATATTATTACTTTTGAGATAAAAAATATAAATATTATAATTACTAATTATATACATCATATATATTTATTATATTATAAGCAAATTAGTAACCCAACTTTTTTAGATAATATTATTACTTTTGAGATAAAAAATATAAATATTATAATTACTAATTATATATATGATATATATTTATGGGAAAATTGCTTTCTAATATATTGCATGACTCAATAGAACATAAAATAACTAAATATACAAATATTATATAATATTGCATAAATATTAAAATAATAACAATACATGATATAATAAATCTATACTATATAGGATTATATTGAATCAGCAGAAGTATTTCAAATACTGTCTATATGTTTATTATATTTGAATCATACTACAAAATTAATTGTAATAAAATATTATATCTTATTACTTACGCAAAATAATTATAACTATTTAAAATTATAACTAAAAATTATAGCTCTCTCCAAAATTAGCACGCACAAATTTTAGGAGGCAGCTCCTAAAATTAGAATGCACAAACTTTAGGGGGCTTCTTGTAGCGCCTAAGACATCTATTGGAATAGAGGAATAGATTATCATAAAGGAAGATGTAATTTTTATTTAAAATTAAAAAGAACATACCCATTTAAGAAAGATAAATATTCAATTATCTCTCTCTCTTTGATTTTCTCTCTATCTCATTCTCTCATGTACTCATATCTCTCTCTTCCCAAAATATGGAAATCTATTTTTATCCTCGATTTTTTCTATCTATCTTTATATTATAATTTCCTCCCTGTGTACTCTCTCCCTTTCTCCATATTCTCCTCGCAGCAGGGGCCTTTGGAAGATGATTTTCCTCCCTATTCAATATCTTTTTGGTGCCATCACTTTCTTATACTTCATTCCCATTCTATTTTCCAATCGTCCTCCTAGGTTGCTTCATCTCCTCCTCTCCCTTTTCACTGCTCAAAGACTCTGCTCTCCAAAAGGTGCTGAGAAATTTTCGGATGCGGCGAACAAGAGTGAAGGGGTAAACAGAACCCTCAGAAAGAAAAAAAGTGTAACGGAAATCGGAGCGATGAACCGCTGAGGCCAAGGCTGGTTTGGAAGATGATCTGTTGTGACTGCAATGCTTTCTAATAGGTTTTGAGAAACAGTCGGATGGGGCCCCGGAAAATAGAAATTTGATCTTTGATCCACTAGCCATTGCCAAGGTTCTATGTAGTCATGTCGAAAATAGAAATTTGATAATTGATCCACTAGCCATTGCCAAGGTTCATAGTTATGTTGAAGCTAATGTACTGTGGTTTCAAAGGTTTCAAAGAGGTGTTGAGGTGTTATCAGATTGGGCCAATAGTGAAAGTTTAAATGATAAATTGAAGGTTAAGCGACTAGCCATGATTGAATACAGTGTGGATTCAATGAGATCAAATATGGAGGTTCTTGTTAATGTCTTTCAGAATCTCGAAGCGCAAGGTTCTCCGATGGATGATCAGATATCTATCTTTTTTTCTCATATCGAGAATTTTAGTATGGAATGAATGTAACAGGATTCACCAAGTCATCTATGGTGTTGGAGCTCCTTCCTTTTGTGAGAAATACACTGAAAGCGTTGAGTTATGCCCAATTTGCTATGAAGAAACAAATGAGAATGAGAAACGCTTCAAGTTTATGCTGCGATGCCCGACATGTCGGTCCTCAAATTGCAAACCAGCCCTATGCCAAATTCGCTGATTATCTGGTAGCGATTTATGTGTCGAACTCTTCCAATGAACTCATATTTTTTTTTTTTATAAAGAGATCATTTCCCTTAAACGATTCAAACCCTCGTTTATTAGTTGAGATGTTGTGCAATGAGTTCCTGCCTTTTGCAATGCCATCACGGTATTTTAAGTGCCGTGGTGCCTCGGAAACATTAGGACCATCATGGCATCTATTCTACTATGATGTATTATAGTAAATGTCATCACGGTATTTTAAGTGCCATGATGCTTGTAAATAAAACATTAAGACCATCACGGTATTAAATCTATCATGATGTTGTTAAGTCTACTATGATGCATTTACTGTAATATGATTACCGTAAAGTTTATTTTGGTTCATGAAGGCTATTTTGGTTTTAAAAAAATAAGAAAGTGAAAAAAATGGGTATGGACGAGATTTTGGAAAATATGTGATTTATTTTTAATAAGCAAAAAATTAAGGTATATTTTTTATAATTTCCCTATATCTTTTAATCCCCAAGACCAACTTTACTTTATTTGACCCCACATTTTATCCCAAACAAAAGTCAAAAAAAAAAAAAATCATTTTCTATTCTTTTCTAACCCTCTCACCCTCTATCTTCTAGATTTTTCTTCTTCTTCTTTTTTACTTATTTTGCGGAGTTTTATTTTGGGGAGATTAGAAAAGAATAGCAAATAATGTTTTCTACTTTTTTACTTATTTTGCGGAGTTTTATTTTGGGGAGATTAGAAAAGAATAGCAAATAATGTTTTCTACTTTTATTTGAGCAAAAAATGTGAGTTAAAAAAGGATAAATTTGGTCTAGGGGGCCAGCAAGAAATCTCTATACTGCCATATTTGAGAAATAGATCCTAAAAAGAAATATATGGTGATATTTTCCCTTGAAATAATCTCTTTGAAAATTTGAACGTTACATTCATAATTGTTTTTTATGTTATTTTGTTTTTATCAAAATTATCCTTACTTTGGATTGCCAAATTTGAAATTTCCACATAAAATTCATTGCCTCCAGCAAGCAAGGCCACACTGCAAGCCTGTAGGCTTTGTAGAATTTGTTTGACCCTAAAAGTCGCGCACACTCCCTATTTATCCTAATAATCATTCTAAAAAACTAAAATTCAATTTGCACTTTAGATATAGTCAAAATGAATCCCTTGCAACAATAAATCTAGACATCCATTTGGTAAAATTTCAAGATATAGAATTTAAGGAATTCAAAATCATTTATTTCTTTCTCAACCTTGTTCATCTAATATAAAACTTATCTAAGAAATTTGGAAAAGAAAAAAGTTTTAATAAGGCTTAGGCATCTCAATTGATCAAAATACCCCTAACAA